CTGGTTTGTTTTGTTTTGTTTTGTTTTTTGTACTGGGAATCAACTCATGACCTTGTGCTTGCCAGGCAGGCGCTGTGCTGCTGAGCTGTACCCCTGGCCCCTGTCTGCTGTTTTTAAGAGTCTTTTTGCTTAGGCTGTTTGGTTGTATACACCACATAGGTCTTTTGTGGGAGTGGTACTGGGAATTGAACTCGGGACCTTGTGCCAGCCACGTAACGCTGCCAGGCATGTGCTGTGCCACTGAGCTATATCCCGGGCCCCAGGCTGTTCGGAAGTTTATTATCTCTTTCAGTCTCCTTAGGCTGCTGTCATAGCTGGTCTAGGTCATAGCAGCAGGCTTTATCCATGGTCTCTTCTTTAACTGGTTCTTAACATCGCCATTACCACTGTCCTGAAATACCGGTGTCACTATTCCTTCCCTTGCTTAATGCCCCTCACTAGTCCGTTTGTTCCCTGAGAATGAAGTCCCGGTTTCTCACCTAGCCCCTTGCTTAATTATATAATTTTGCCTCATGTTGTATTAGTCTTTCTTTTATATTCTACATTCCAAACTTAGTAATTTATCCCCACTCTGGCTCCTCTCTGTCGTGGTTGTATATAGCTGTCTCCAAAACCTCACTGTAATAGGAGGGGCTTTTTGGAGCTGGCTGTACCCAGGCTGTGTGAGTATGGATTAAGGCTGTGTGATAACTAAATCGGTCCACTGATTGGTTTAGCGTCGTTCTGCGGGTGGGTAATAGGAAGGCCCGTGCCAGATGTGGGCGGTACCAGCCAGTGTGCTCGTAGCCTGAGTGGAATAAAAGGGACAGAAGGCAGGGAAGCTCGCTGCTTCCTTCTGCCTTATCTTGGCCTGCTTCTCCTGTGCCGTGCCACACTGTGACTCCTACAAACTGAGCTAAAATAACCCTTCCCTCCTTCCACTTGTGGGTGTTGGCTGTTTTGTTCCAGCAGGGAAAAAAGTAACTAAGGCTCCCACACACCATGTTCTTCCCCCGGACCTTAGTGCATGTCTGTTCTGCTCTCCTGTGGAGCACGCCTTCTGCCCATCCCTGTAGTGCCCTCCAGCATGCCCTACCCTGCCTCCGGTGCCTCCTTCTCTGACTAACTCCTATTTAGAAAGGGTGGAAAAGTTTAGGTGTCATTTCTCGGATGCCTTCTTTAACCTGTCAAATGAATTAGGTCTTTATATTTTGAAGTACTTTTCCTTTCCTTTATCATTCCACTGAGTCAAAGTCCACCGTAATTCCTTATTAATGATCTTCCCCACAAGATTAGCACGTTTCGCGAGGCAGAGGTTTGTCGTTCTTGCTCCTTGGCAGTCTCTGGGACGTAGGTCAGTGCCAGCACATGGTAGGAGTCGTGGCTGGTGAAACCCTCTCACTCTTTGTTGCTTCCCATTGCTTTACATAGTGAGTGAAATTCATGTTTCTCAGAACTCAGCTCTTGTGTCTTTCTTTCCTATCTCATCCACTTATTTTCTCCACTTGTGCCCCAGTCCATCACACCATATACCCCACCTTAACCTGAACCGTACCAGCTTCTTTTTATATGTTTGTGCATACCTTTACTCACTGGTTTCTTTAATCTTTCCGTTGACAAAATTGTACTTCTTTAAGGCCTGGGTCAAAGTTCCTCTCAGCTTTGAAGGCAAAATTAATCACTGCTCCCCAAAGTTGTGAACCTAGGGTCAGTTCTTCTGAGTTCCCAATATATGTAATCCTTTCCTTGTATTCTGATGAGTTGAGAATAAGGTTTATGTTTTATTCATCTTCGTGTAACTGGGTATTAATGAGCGTAGTTGAATTAAATTGCGCGATCAGCATGAATGGAGTCACAGTCTTCTGCTCTCCTCATTGCTATCAAATACACGTCTCTGACCCCTTCAGGTATTGTGAGAGCTAGAGTAGAGGCAGTGCAGTGCTGACGGTCCTGGAGCCGAGATTGGTTCCATATTTGACATGTGGCATTTCTTTACTAAAGAACTTGGGGAAGAAAATCTTAACCTTTGAGTTGAAGTTTTCTTGTCTGTAAAATGGAAATAAAGATGGTAGCTACTTTTCCTCCCTAGTAGGATTGTGGTAGAAATTAAATGAATTTAAAAGAATTAAGTTTGTATGAAAGTTCTCTGCAGATTATAAAATGCTGTTTAAATCTTAGTAGCCCTTGAACTTTCCTTACCTCGTGCACCTGACCTTGCTTTGGTTGTTCTTTTAGACCTCGGCACAGTGTGGCAAGTTTAGAAAGCATTGTCAATGAAGCCAGAAACATTCCAGCTTTTCTGCCCAACGTGCTGTCCCTCAAAGAAGCCTTACAAAAGGCTCGAGAGTGGACAGCAAAAGTGGAAGCTATTCAGGTAAGAAGACTTGTATAAGCTACTTCTCAGGTAGTACTTCAGATGAGTCTTCTAAGTCTTCAGTTCTTTATAATTGAACAGTCATAGTAAAATAGTAACAGTACTTAAAATTCACTTAGTCTTCCATGTCATAATTCAGAATAAAGATTACCTACTTCAACATTATAAGTTGATGGAATTAGCTTTTTAACTCTTACTAAAAGGAAGTTTATTACCTGTGTGCATGAATTATTTTTAAAATAAGAGGCAGAAAAATACAACTAAATGAATCTTTAAATTTTATTTTTTTATTTTTTGTCTTTTTAAGACAGGGTCTTGCTATGCAGTTCAGTCTAGCCTTGAGCTCACTTTGTAGCCCAGGCTGATCTTGAACTCGCAACGATCCTCCTGCCTCAGCCTCCCGAGTACTGGGATTACAGGTGTGCGCCACCATGCCCAGTAACTAAATGAATCTTAACCTAATACCACAGCATTCTTGGTACTTTTTAGGTTTGAGGGCAGCTGTGTTAGAGAAGGGGTATCGAGAAACATAGGCTACTGGCCTTTGAAATAGTATATTTTTCTGGTTGGAGATACATATTATACATGTGTAATTCAAAACAGTGCCAGGCATGGTGATGCATGTCAGTAATCCTAGCACTCAGGAGGCTGAGGCAGGAAGATCCATATGAGTTCGAGGCCAGCGTGGGCTACATAAACAGGTTCAAGGCCAGCCTGCACTACATAGTGCAGACCCTGTCTCAAAAAAGAAAAAAAATTCAAAACAGTGAAATTACTGCTGAAGGTATGTTTAATTATAAACCTGTTAATAGCATCTACAGTGTACTGTATATAAGTATTCTCATTCTCTTTCTCTCCCTTCTCACCTCCCTTTCTCTGTGTCTTTTTTTTGGTACTGGGAATCAGGCCCAGAGCCTTGCTTAGGCAAACTCTCTACCACCGAGCTACATCCCCGGTTCTCTAGCTATATTCAGGAGATGCACACAACAAAAAGAAAACCAGTCCTCCTGCAGTAAACTGCTTCTCCAAGAAAATGCATTCTAGGTGTCAAATTGCAATGACTTCTCTTTTACTTTCTGACTTTTCAGTTTGACTATTTCTGAAACCTACTTAACTGCCGCTATTTCTTCTGCTTTTTTCAGAGATTCTGTTTTCATCAGGACAGTTCCTTTGTTTGTCTTTGACCTGTATTTCAGGCAGTTGGTTGTTCTCAAAATCTGATAATTCTTAACTGAAAGATTAAGTTGAAAGATTACAATTGAAAGATGAAGTTGACAGGCTGTCATATGCCCATTTGTAATTTTCAAGGGCTGTTTTCCTACCGTGTCTGTTCTCTCGGTGCCGTGCTGACTTGCAGGCTCTGAGTAAGCGAGCGCGCTCTGTTGGCAGGCAGCCTTCTTTAGGGTACAGACCTTTGGAATAGGATGTGTCTAGGCTCACACAGATGATGCTCTGTAAGCAAATGGCCACAGTTGGGTACAACACGGAATAGTAGTAAATGTTATTCTTGGCCTGATCTGTGTCTGAACTTTTAAAAGATTTATTCCATTCCATTTAACTATCTTACCGTGGTACCATAATGACTTCATTATCCCATTATAATATTTCATAGGACAAGAACCTCATTGTTCTTTTTGGAAATGTATAGGTTCTTTGCCTGTTTATTTTTCCACTTGCATCAGTGTGTCTTTCAGAATGAGTTTATAGGGTAATGTGTTAGTACATGAGAAATAAGCTTTTACTGGAGTGCAATGTAGACTTGTAAAGATAATAATGACTTCGCTACATGGAAATATTGAAACTTTGAACTTAAAAGGAACATACTCATTCTCATCTCTTTTTTATGTAATGTATAATGAAGATGGTTACCAGAGCCAAAGCTTTCAGGTCTTTGTACACAGAAAGGGGTTAAATTTGTAATGGACAGTTGGTTCCACACAAGAGGTGATTCCAGCTGAGTGTGTGGGTACACGTTTTTAACCTGCTACCCAGGAGGTTGAGGCAGGAAAATTGCAAGCTTGAGGCCAACCTGGGTAGCTTAGTGAGTCCCTGTCTCAAAGTTTTAAAAAGGGTTATAGGAGAGGTTCCCTGCCCAGTACCACAAAATAAATAGATTTCATTGTCCTAAATAGTATTAAATGCTTGCCTCCATCTGTTAATTTCTTTATTCTTAATTGCATTTATATGTCTGTTCCTTTGAACTGTTTGTTTACGTCTTACTGCTTATCTCATTAATGAAATAAAATCTTTGACGTGTTCATTTATACAGTTTTTTTTCATGTCAAGCACACTACCAGTGAGTTATATACTTCTAGTCCCCCCTTGTTTTAGTAGGAGATTGGAAGATGTTTAATTATGTAAATTATAATGAGTCACAAATAAATGGTGGTGAGCTAGGAGTAATGGACATTGGTAGGTGTGCCCTATGTGCTGTATATGTGAAATTAGAAGTACGTATGAATTATGTAAATTAAAAGTAAAAACAACACTGCTTGACAGTTTGTTTTAAAAATTTTATTAAACTGAAAGCCCTTTTAAAAAATATAAAGCTAATTAGGATGGCCTTTTGCAATTTTGATATGTTGCCTCATTCATATAACGTAATACAGTTATTCTAAAGTTGTATAATGTCACTTAAATGCTAGTTGTCGGAACAATGCAAGTCACTTAAATTTTGTCAGGACTGCCCTTTAATCCGAAGGTAAGGAACTTACGTAAGGAGGAAGCGTGCAGTGGACAGCAGTGTAGGCTGCGGGTGGAGGAGCAGGCGCAGAGCCTGCAGAGTCAGATTATTGGTAGTGGGTATAAGATTCGGTATTCGGTGAGGTTTTGACCTTCCTTGGATAGACATGCTGACTTTTGAATGAACTTTTTCTGGTTATTACAAATCCGTGCGGAAGTGTAGGTATAGGTATACTGGACATATTAGGAATGCACGGTTCGGTTTTTTTAAACACAAAAGTTAACCCTTAACTTGTCGTAAGTTTTTCCAATAGTATATTGCCACACTCCATAGGAGAACTCAAATTGTGTGAGAATCTACTTTTGTTTTTCAGAGTGGCAGCAACTATGCTTACTTGGAGCAGCTTGAAAGCTTATCTGCTAAGGGGCGCCCTATCCCCGTGAGGCTTGATGCCCTGCCACAGGTGGAGTCGCAGGTGGCGGCAGCGCGGGCCTGGAGGGAGCGCACAGGGCGGACCTTTCTTAAGAAGAACTCCAGCCACACGTTGTTACAGGTGAGGTGTAGTTTATTGTACATGTACTAAATTCTCACCAGCATTTAACAGACCGTTACCTGCAGATGGAGGTAGTACTGGTGAGGGCTGCGCTCCCTTTATCCAGTCATTACTGTAAGTGATTCCTGTTTTTTTTTTTTTTTTTGGGCAGTTTTATTTTTATTTTATTTTATTTTTTGTCTT